TAATGGATGGGTTGGAGTAAAGCGTGATGGGTATGAAGGAGTTCTGGGTACGTATGGGGACGAGAGAGTGAATGACAAAGGGAGAAGCCTGCTTGAAGTATGCTTGGAATGGAATCTGTGCGTGGCCAATACAATGTTTGACCACAAAAAGATCCATTTGTATACAAGAGATGAGGGTGAGTCTAGAAGTATGATTGATTTTGTAATTGTGGATGAAAGACTGAGGAAGAAAGTGCTAGACACTCGGGCATACCGCGGTGTAGGCCTGGACACAGACCACTTCCTGGTCATAGCCCGAATGCGTGGCCTCTTTAAACGGTGGCGACACCGAGGGGCCGAGCCTACGAGTTTATTGGACAGAGTAAAATTGGAAAATCTACAAGAAAAGGAAAAGAAAGACGAGTATGTACATAAACTGAAAGAAAGTTTTAAAGGGATAGAAGAGATAGGAATGATTGAAGATTTGTGGGAGACATTTAAGAAAGGGGTCGTAAATGTTGCTATTGAGGTATGCGGGGTAGCTAAAAGAAGGAAAGGAAGAAAGAATGATAACGTGTGGTTGTGCAAGAAAAGAAGAAAACGTGGTTGGATTGGTTAGCAATAAAAGCTAACCAAAAAGTTAAAAAGGCAACGGATGACGAGATAAAGGAAGCAACAACGAAGTATAAAAGATTGAAAACAGCAGCGAAAGAAATTGTGTCTAGAAAGAAAGAAAAACGAAAGGATGATTTCGATAGGAGATTAGGTAAGACTGCATGGTATAACAGGATTACCGTCAAGATGCTGAGGGCTGGACAGGACCTGGTGGCTAGTCAGCTGTACCGCCTTTTCAATCTGTGCTGGTGAAATGGGCAAGTACCGGGAGACTGGTGCAAAGCCGTAATCATGCCATTGTATAAGGGAAAAGGTTCACGGCAGGACTGCATAAATTCTCAGCGTCGTCGGTAAATTGTATGCGAAAGTGTTGATTGATAGGGTTGTGAATGAAACAGACGAGAAAGTATGGGATGCACAAGCGGGATTTAGAAAGGGAATGGGATGTACGGATCAGGTCTCTTCCTTGCGGTGCATAGCCGAAAAGTGTTTGGCAAAAAACAAGAAAGTCTACTGCGCGTTCGTAGATCTAGAAAAGGCCTATGATAAAGTGGTGAGGAATGAATTGTGGTCAGCACTGTCCGTGAACGGTGTGAGCAGTATCCTCATACAAGCATTGCAATCTCTTTATAGGGATTCTAGTGCTTGTGTAAGGATAAACGGGGAATACACTGAATGGTTTAATATCGAAAAAGGTGTTAGACATGGATGTGTAGCGTCACCGTGGCTGTTTAATCTGTTTATGGACAATTGTTTGACAGATTTAAAAGAGAATGAAAGTGGGTTGAGAATGAATGAGTTACTCGTCAAATGTTTTCTATGCTGATGACCAAGTATTACTTGCGTCTTCGGCTGAGGAGTTGCAGGAGATGGTAACTGCTATGAGTGGAGCTTTTGTTAGAAAGGGAATGAAAATGAATGTAAGGAAGACGAAAGTGATGGTGTTTGAAAAAGATGAGGCAGTGACAGACTGCAATATCGTGATTGAAGATGAACAAATTGAACAGGTGAAAGAGTTTGTGTATCTGGGTTCAAAGTTTACAAGAGATGGAAAGTGTGAGAGTGATATCGAAAGAAGAGTGAATGCAGGAAACATGGTGAATGGAGCTTTGCACTCCTTTATGAGCAGTCGGAAGGTGTCGTCTAACAAGGTTAGTTAGGCTGTGCATGAGGGGGTGTTGGTTCCGACACTCATGTACGGAAGTGAAAGTTCGGTATGGCAGGAGAAACATGAAAGCAGAATAAATGCAGTTGAGATGAGAGCATTAAGAAGTATGATAGGAGTTAAACTGAGTGGCAGGATAAGAAATAGTGAGATAAGGAAACGTTGTGGTCTGAAAGAAGATATAGTGACAAAAATTGAGAAAGGTATGCTGAGATGGTTTGGCCATGTCCAGAGAATGAATGAAGAACGATTGACGAAACAAGTGTATAAGGCGAGTGTGAATGAAAGTGTTGGAAGTGGTAGACCTAGGCGGACATTTCTAGACCAAATCAGGGACGTCTTAAAAAATGGTCAGGTCAAGAGTACCCTAAACCGTAGAGTATGTATGAAGGGAATAATGAAAGTGGACGAAGCGAAATAAGTATGTAAGGATCGTAGTAAGTGGAAAGAAGCGGTCTCTGCCTACCCCTACGGGAAAGAGACGTGAAGCGTGAAGCGTGATGATTTTAAATAAAATTAATTTTACGGATTTTATCGCGTATATTAACTTATTTTATATTCCCGACGTTTCGAGTACTTTACAGTTCCGGGGCCGATTTGTTTGACGTCCCAATGTCATAGTTAACCACGGCTACCTCCAGATTAAAATTATTAATTTTTATTCCGATCTACGCAGTTGTATACTTGGGTTGGGATTTAATTTTATTAATAATAGGATCTCAAGCAAATGGTAGTATGGTACTCGTAACATACTTATACACTATGCTGTTTCTCTCTTGCATTGCCAATCTATTCTAATGTCAGTTTTTTTTTTTATAGGAGAGGGGGCAAACGAGCATGCGGCTCACCTGATGGTAAGTGACTACCGCCGCCCATGAACAACCGCAACACCAGGGGAATTGCATATGCGTTGCCGGCCTTTTAAAAAGGAGTAGGCTCTTTTCTTGAAGGTCCCTAAGTCGTATCGGTCCGGAAAAATCGCTGGTGGTAAACTATTCCACAAGGAAGTTGTGCGAGGAAGAAAACATCTTCTAAATCGCACAGTGGTGGACCGCCAACCATCCAGATGGTGTGGATGGTATCGGGAGTTCTGCCGCGATGTGCGTTCGTGAAATTTGGCGGCTGGGATTAATCCGAACAATTCCTCAGAGCACTCCCCATGGTAAATGCGAAAGAAAATGCTAAGAGATGCAACATCTCTTCGCAGTGCCAATGAGTCGAGCCGATCGGAAAGGACTCGGTCGTCGACGATTCGAGCCGCTCTGCGCTGGATGCGGTCAAGTGGAAGAAGCTGGCACTGGGGAGCCCCAGCCCAGAGATGGGAACAGTATTCCATGTGAGGCCGAACCTGCGCCTTGTAAAGTTGCAGGCGTTGAGCCGGCATGAAATACTGTCCCGCTCTGCTGAGCACGCCAAGCTTTTTAGAGGCCAATTTGGCCTTCTCTTCCAAGTGACCACGAAACTGCACGCTACTCGATATGTCGACGCAGAGGATTCCGATACTGGCTGAGGCAACAAGGGGAGTACCTTGAAACTGAGGATATACGACAAAGGGGTTCTTTTTAGCGGTAAACGCGCAAACTTGTGTCTTCTGAGGATTAAACTGGACTAGATTTAGTCGCCCCCAATCCGAGACTTTGTCCAGCAGACTCGACTTCAGACACAAGTTTGTTCCGGTACTCGGTGACGTTTTCCCGAGAAATATTGGCACGGCCGGTGTATAGAGCATCACCAGTGCTGTCATCTGCATAGCAATGAATGCTACCAGCTTGCAACATATCATTGATATGCAAAAGAAACAGCGTTGGTGATAGCACGCAGCCTTGTGGAACACCAGCGTTAATAGGCTTGTAGTCGGAGCATGCACCGTCTACAACGACCTTGATGCTTCGATCTGCAAGAAAGCTGGTGATCCAATTGCATAATTTCTCGGGAAGCCCATAGGAAGGGAGCTTCGAAAGAAGCGCTTTGTGCCAAACCCGATCGAAGGCCTTCGCAATGTGCAAACTAACGGCCAATGCCTCCCCCTTGGACTCTACTGCCAACGCCCATCTATGAGTTAAGTAGACCAGAAGATCACCAGCTGATCGACCCCGACGAAAACCGTACTGGCGGTCACTAATCAGCTGGTGATCCTCAAGGTACCGCATGAGGTGGCAGTTTACAACGGATTCCATTATTTTGTTTATACTAAATCTATGGTTATGACACAGAATGTATATATGTAAGTGTGCTTGTGTGTCTCAAATTGTTAGTGCATTAATTTATTTGTTATGTGTGAGTTTCGTAGTGACAGAAGATTTTTTTGTGTAAGAGTCTGAGAAAATGTGCGTCGCGCACATTTCCCCCCGCAAAAAATAACAGACAGTTTCGTATCGGAAAACAACTCTATTGTTACTCTCTTTCGGTACGCCGGCGGCTCGTGTCGTGTTGCTCTATGACCAAACCTATCCTAAGCTACCAAGTACTCGGTACTAGATTCGAGTTAGGCACTGATTCGATTCCTTTTATGACTGCTACTAAACTATTACTTTTAAACTGATGAATTTATCGAATACTAAAAAATTGCTAAATCTGCACATTATTGTCTCTCTGTATTGCTGCGTTAAAAACTTAAAAACAATTCTTAGCTTTTTAGTTTTATAAGGAAAGTAATATAGCCGTGATAAATAATATTACAAATAGATAAAGATATTATTAAAATTACGTAATATGTAATACATATTACTATTACAAACATAAAGTAACGATAATGCTTTTAGTTACTACTCAGCATAAGGATCAAATAAAATTAATATATACACATTTTTAATATAAATAAACAATTTTGAAAAGTAAAAGAAAATATCTACAAAAATACATCGACCTACATCGATACGACATGATAACAAGTAACTTTTGTAGAAACGAAACGTACCAGACCAAAGACTAACCAAAACCAAATTGAAAATGGCATTTGGATTTACACTTTACAGTCCGAAACTTGTCAAATTTCGAAAATAATATGAAGTGACCGAAAATGATTTCTTAGTTGATTGTGTAACATTATTTAATTTGTTAAATTTTATATGCATTTGCTTATGATCTTTGCTATATATATGTGATTTTGTGGCCATTAAACCGGTAGAGGTTATGAAGTAGAAAAACCTTTTTGAATCCTATTCCTCTTAGATATTATGTTTTAAGAAATAATTATTATTTTACCAAGTATTTACAACAATAAAAGGAAATAACGTTCATAATGTCGAGAATACTACACAATCGTATCAGGTATTTTTTTTATTAGTTGTAAAAAACTTGTGTTTTTAAAATTCCATTTTCTAATGATCAATTATTGGTGTTTCAGTTTATGTCATCCTACCCATTATAAATTGAAACGAAATCTAGAATATGTTCAATACTTATTATTTTCAAGATAATTTATTTCTTGATTTCAATGTATAATCTTTGTTTATTGTAGATCATCTCTAAAAAAATCAACAGCCTGGTCATGCATTGATAAGCGAGCTGTAGCATTTTCAATATGGACTGGCAAAAGTATGATACTTTACAAACCAATTGACCCCATTCATATTCCAAGAAGAAAATATGGTATGCTTGTGGCAAGGGCACTTAGAGGCGTATTGAAGATTAGGTACTTGCTCCTGGGTGGAGCCGTGGGTGGAGGCATGACATTGAATAAGGTAATTTTCTGTAAAGTAATATACATTATAATACTTAAATATAAATTATGGGTTACATTACGATTATATACACTTTATGCTAGTGATACTATAATATTTATCCCTTAAATGCCTCTTATTTTATAGAGGTTCGATGGTTGCAGGTGTCTCAGGACCAGGCTTTGTGGCATTCCTTGCTGGTGGCCTGTGTTAAGCAGTGAACTTGTTATGGGCTGTAATAATAATGATGATTTAGAGTTTATCACCATAGTTGAAAATTAATGCAGAGGACATCATCATCATTTTCATAGGTCTTGAATAAATGTTTGCTTTCTTTCTTTTTCATAAAAAAACATTATCAGGCACATTCCTTATTGAACATTCTTGGTTTTCTATAATAAGGCTATGTAATTGGATATTTCTTACCTGATTTATTTATTTATCTAGAATTTATAATTATTAGTTATTATAATCAACATTTAAACAATATTATGCTACATAATATATACTCTAATTTAATGTAAAAAAAAAATATATTAATGTGATATTGTAATTTCATTTATGACCTCAAGTCATCAGGGTTTCTTTTTTATTTAGAAATATATAGAATGGAAGGATGGTCTACCTGATATGGGTTGGTTAAATGACCTCCTACCAGACAATGAGCAATGGGATCGTTTCACAACAACGCTAATCAATGCCAAAGACCGTATTGGAGATCAGTTACAAATTGGTAAGCTACAACATTTTAATGATAAATTATTTAAGAAAATAAATATATAACCATGTTGTAAGAATATCCACTTCCCCATATTGTCCCTTGGGTGTCATAAGAGGGAAAAACCAGGAGGTGGGAAACAGCGTCTTTTGTTGATAACATCAAAAAAGTAACAGTTGTCAATCCACCAGGCAGGAGTGCCAACTATGGAAAATTTCACCTGAATGAAGCAATCGATAGGAGAGGCCTATATTTAGCACTGCACTTACATGATGATGATAATTTTTTTTTAAATATTAAATATAGAATAGAAAATAATCTCAATAACTACTTATTAGTTTTGGATCTTTTAACATTTTAAATTATTTATATTGCACTATGTTTTATTATTTCATTGAATTTGTTATATTTTTATTGGATATACTTGCTTTTGGCCGCGACTTCGTCCACATAGATATTATACATTAAACCATAGGTTATCCATCAATAATCACAATTTCATAGTTCATTCCGTCACCCTCTTTATGGATGATTTCTGGAAATAAAGTATCAAATTTTATTGTATTTATGGTTCGCTATTTTGATAATAAGGGTTTACACATAAAAGGTAGATATAGAACGTGCCGCTTCAATGGTGACTTTAATTTAACACACAGGTACGGCAAGTGCCCATTAATCATAAATAATTTTGTTAGGTTAAAATAACTCGTAAATTGAGAATTTTTTTTTCAAACAAACTTAACATAATCTAATTACTATTCTAACTACACAAAAATTAATAAATAAAACAATAGGACAGTTCTCTAAGTACAGGTTGCTCTAAGATGCTATTTTCTAAAATTTTAAATAAATCCATAAAAAAAATAATGTTTAATGGAAATATAATTTCTTTATGAAACGAAAATGGTAAAACGTATATGTGTGTTAAATTAAAGTCACCATTGTTGCTGCACGTGTCATGGATTTTTTGTAGAACTATTTAGGAGAAACAATTCCACCATACATTATATTTATGTACCTACCTATTACATTGCACCGCAAGCCAAAATAGCTCGCAGATGACAGATTTTTTCCAACTTACTTAACACTTATTGTTATATTTTGAGCAATTTACACAGTATCTTTATTAATTATAACCTCTGTGTTGTTCTAATGTATGAACTATACTATTATAAAGTTTCATTAAAACACATTCATTAGTTTTTGAGTGGAAGAGTTACAATCATGCATACATCCTCACAAACTTAGGTTGACCTTATGGCGTTACGATGCGCAGATTATAGCGTGCAACAAAGTACTACTAGCGCCATCTAGAATTTACAAAATAAAATAAAATTCTTAACATTTAAAACATTGCTTTTTGCTCTTAAACACATACATATAAAAAATATGGTTGCTAAGATTTTTTAAAAGCATTGAGATTGAACATGTGAATCTGGTAAGAGCTATTATTATAATTGTAATAGAAAAGCGATTTGACAAATTAGCAATATAATTATAAAATAATTAAAAATTAAAAATTATGTACAACCAACTTCAATATAAATTATAAAGAATAACTCAAAAACTATTGGTCAGACCTTAATCAAATTTATATGGGACCACATGTGAAGCACCAGCTTTCAAATAAAAAAAGAATAATTGAAATCGGTTCACCCAGTAAAAGTTTATGAGGTAACAAAAAAGTTGAGTACCTCCTTTTTGAAGTATTATGTATCGTGGAGATTATAGAATATATTTTTTTATACGTAATGTAGCTATGTCTAAAACAGTTCTAGCTGTGAACCATAAGTTGTTTAGCAACGCTAAAAAAATCAAAAAATATTCACAAAAGATAGGTTTTAGTTTTATAATAATACAATTAGGAATTTCAAATGAAATAGTGTCAGAATTTGACTGTAAAGCTAGAAGAGATGTGCTCAAATAGCGGAACCCTTGGTCGTAATTGGTAGGGGGTGGAGGTGGTAAGTGCGTTTGAAAGCACAGTGTAAGGCTGTGTGCGTGTTAGGTGGCCCGCTGACGCTGACGCTGCACGCAGATCCCCGGCTGCGGGAGGCTGGGCTGGAGCGCGCTGCAGAGTTCCGCAACTGGCTGGCACAGCGTTACGAAGACGCAGTAGCAGCGGCCGCCGCTAACAACATCGGTGAGTTGGAATCTGAGTGAATTCATGTTTAGTTCCGGCTTGAAGAAAACCAGTGAGGCAAGGTTAAAAATATAAAAACCTATTATCACCCAACTGCAACAGAAGAAGGGTTATGTTTAACGAGATAATGTATGTCTGTTTGTATCTTTGGTATGATGTGTCGCTTAAATGATTTGATGAATTTAACATATTATGGCACGTCTGTTTAACATGTGTGGTGTTTGTGCACTTTTCAGAAGTGTTAGAGTCACGCTGCAGCTATATAAAGTCCCACTGGGTTTGTGATAGAGGTTTTTTTTCGAACCAGGGGTAATTAAACAAAAGAATGACATTCAATAAGTATTATTTATAATCTATATTGAATAAAAAAGTTTCTGTTCCTGTTTCTATTATGATTGTAGCACAAATTGGTCGGCTCGACCCAGGTATGATCACGCTCTCACATAATGCCAGCATGAAATAGCAGCTTAATGCTGCTGTGTTTCCTATTTACTATTTACTGATAACGAGGCATTCCATTTTACTCTTTAGGGGTGACAACGCATCTGCATTTGATTCTTGATTGAGGATAAATGTAGAAGTCTATAGGCCACAGTGTCCACTTACCATCAGGTAGACTTTGTGCTTATTTGTAACCCTTATTCTAAAAAGAACTTAATGTCCACTTCTCTTCATGCAGAAGCAACTCACAATACATAGTAATGTGGTTGTAACAGTTTGGAAGTGCAGTGTCATTTGGTGAATTTAGTTTACATACCTGCGTAGGATTTGCTTGAAGTGTTATCTGTTACTATTTTCGTGTTTTGTTTGGTTTGCATTTATTTGTTTTTTTTTTCTTTAAAATAAAGACTAGCTATTAAAATTAGTAATATTCCATTTAAACACTCCTGGTAAGCTTAAAATGCTTATGTAAGGACTTAGGATTCGATCCGCGACTTTATAACAATGTTTTATACACTTTTTTAATTATATTGTTTGACTAGCTACCTGCCCCGGCTTCGCTTGTAATGCACCTCGAACCTGTGAAAGTTTGTTTATATTATTTATCTTGTCTCACGCCATAAATAAAAAGAAATAGTACTAACCACATGAGAAGTATGTACAACCAATCATATTGCAGAAATATTTCATGCTAGCTTTTATATTTTATGTGTATGTTATGAATAATTTAATTTCATCCATTGATATCAGATAAGACTAGCAGTTGATATCTTGAAAACATTACATGCATATAATATATGCAGTTTGTATTATTATTATATATGTCGGGAACCGATTATACTTTAAAGCCCAATAGTAACTTATAAAGAAGTGTCAAGTGTTGTAAATAATGTTTGTTTGTATCAACTTTCATTACCAGGAATATATTGTCATTTTACATAACAGCTTTATAGTAACATGCATGTGTCTGAATTGTTGTGTGTGTGTTTCCATAATTCATTAATTAAATAAGCAGTTTATTTAACGATAAAAAAATGATGTGGCTAGTTTTGAATAGGGTAGTTGACAAAATAAATGACATAATAATCATATAATTTTAATGGAAGTAAAGGCTGAGCCTTGGTAGCTCAGTGGCTAAACGCTCGCTGTAAATATCACAGTACGGGAGCAACCCGGGTTCGATCCCCGCCGGCATCAATGAAATAGTTAATTGCAATTTTAAGTGCTGATTTACCACGTGTTCGGCGGTGAAGGAAAATATCTTAAGGAAACCTGCATGTCTGAGAAATAAGAAAAAAATATATTTCAAAGACATGTGAAATTCGCCAACACGAGATGGGAGCGCGGCGGACATTTCCTTACCCTAAAACCCTCTCAGAAATGAGGGGAGGCCTGTGCCCAGCAGTGGGACGTATATAGACGTTAACTTTTTAAATTTTAGTGGTTGAAAGATATTCCCTTGAATAGCCTTGGTGAGAGACCAGAATGTAGGGTAACTCAAAGGAAGGCAACTAGTTTGTCGCCAATTCTGTCAGTGCTCTGACTTTGCCCCGAAAATAATTCTTTTGAAGGACCGGGAAGTGAAGTTATACATCTTTTTAAAGGAGCTGGTGTTTACATCCCGGGACACGATACACCAGCCGAGGTCTGATATCACTCCTGCTTATTGCGTAATGCAGTTTTACAGGAGTGACCAAAATTTTACCATAAAAACTATGATTTCAAAACACTATATTCTCATACTATTTCTATAAAAATATTTGTTTTGACAACAAGTATTTCGACAAAGTAGACTTTCAATAATTTAAAATTAAAAACTTTGTACAGCCGACTTCAATATAAATTATTAAGAATAACTCAAAAAATATTGGTCTGACCTTGATTAAATTTATATGGGACCACATGTGAAGTACCAGCTTTCAAATAAAAAAAGATCATCGAAATCGGTTCACCCAGTAAAAAGTTATGAGGTAACACACACAAAAAAAACATACAGTCGAATTGAGTACAGTCTTCTTTTTGAAGTCTGCAGAAAACATATCAATGTCAAACAAATATCTACAGTAACGAAACTGGAAGCCGGAGAAACACGACCCGAATATGCAATGATCCACTCGCCATGGATATTATCTTTTTAATAGAAAAGTCCTTGGTTTTTTAAAATTGAATACCATTTATTTATTTAAAAAAGGATTCTCGGCCTTGTCACAAGATTTTGTCAAACTTGTTTAGTCGTTGAGAAAATGGAATTGACTCGTGAAAATCCAAGAGCGATGATTTATTATGACTTTCGAAGTAGTTTAACACAAAAACAATGTGTTGACCGGATGTTTTCTGCATTTGGTGATGAAGCCCCATCCAAAACCACAATTTATCGCTGGTTTGCTGAATTTCAAGCGTGTCAAGCTTAGTGATGATCCCCGTCAAGGTCGTCCAAAAAGGTTCAAATCGTCGACGACCGAGTTCTTTCTGATCGCCTCGATACACTGGCACTGCGTAGAGATGTTGCATCTCTTTGTGTATTTTATCGCATCTATCACGGGGAGTGCTCTGAGGAATTGTTCGGACTAATTCCAGCCGCTCAATTTCACCATTGCACATCGCGACAAAACTCGCGTTACCATCCATACCATCTGGATGATTGGCGGTCCACCACTGTGCGATTTAGAAGAAGTTTTCTCCCTCGCACAACTTCCTTGTGGAATCAATTACCACCAACGAATTTTCCGGACCGATACGACTTAGGAACCTTCAAGAAAAGAGCTTACACCTTTCTAAAAGGCCGGCAACGCATCTGCAATTCCCCTGGTGTTGTTCATGGGCGGCGGTAGTCACTTACCATCAGGTGAGCCGCATGCTCGTTTGCCCCATCTTCTATAAAAAAAAAACTGCAGTCACCCAAGAAAACGTTGATGCTGTGCGTAAGCTGATTGAGGAAGATTGACCTGTGACATACCGCGAAATTCAGGCAACTTTAGACATTGGCATGAGTCAAATACAAATAATCTTGCATGAACAATTAGGTGTAAAAAAGTTGTTTTCCCGATGGATACCGCATTCGATCTGTGAAGAGCAAAAAGCGGCTCGCGTTACTTGGTGCGTCAGAACTCTCGAAAGATTCCAAGCAGGATCCTTAAATGCTGTATACAACATCGTATCAGGTGACGAATCCTGGATATACGCGTACGAACCCGAAACAAAAAACCAGTTACAAGTTTGGGTGTTCGAAAATGAGTTAAAGCCAACAAAAATTGTTCGTTCACGGAGTGTTGCAAAAAATGGTGGCCACGTTTGTCTCCAAAACCGGCCATGTTACGACTATTCCTCTTGAGGGACAAAGAACGGTTAATGCAGAATGGTATGCTAGCATTTGTTTGCCACAGGTCGTTTCTGAATTCCGTAAAGAGAACTGCAACCGCCGCATCATCCTCCATCACGACAATGCGATTTCTCACACCGCACACAGAACAAAAGAGTTTTTAGAGCAAGAAAACATAGAATTATTAGACCATCCGCCGTACAGCCCCGACCTAAGCCCTAATGATTTCTATACTTTCCCTAAAATAAAGAATAAATTGCGTGGACAGAGATTTTCATCACCTGAAGAAGCTGTGGACGCCTACAAAACGGTCATTTTGGAGACCCCAACTTCCGAATGGAATGGTTGCTTCAATGATTGGTTCCATCGTATGGAAAAATGTGTCAAATTTCGCGGAGAATACTTCGAAAAGCAATAAATACGAGGGTGGATTGAAAAGTACTCGGCCTAACACAGATCCATTCAATTCTAAAAATCAAATCTTCCCACATTATTTAGTTCAGTTCAGACTAGTTCAGTGTATGAAGTTCGAAACGTGTGCGATAATTAGTTGTGATTTTATAAATTTATTAACAAAGTAATCGGACATAATTTCCGCGAATGGAGCAAATCGAGCAGCGTGCCGTCATTAAGTACCTCCATAAGAAGGGGCTATCATCAAAAGCCATCCATGATGACATGGTCAGTACATAAGGCGATTGTGCTCTGTCATATTCATCCGTCAAAAAATGGATAGCAGAATTTAAGCGTGGTAGAGAGAGTGTGAAAGATGAACCCCGCTCTGGAAGGCCTTTGACGTCAACTACTGACGAAAATATTAAAAAAGTACTTGATTTAATAATGGGAGACCGCAGATTAAAAATTAGAGAGATAGCCGAGATTATAGGCATCTCTTATGAACGAACTCAAAACATCATTGTCAACGAGTTGGGTTTCCACAAGGTGTCTGCGAGGTGGGTTCCGCGACTGCTTTCAGTTGAACAAAAAAGGACGCGATTGACTATTTCACGCGACTGTTTGGAGTTATTTGAAGCCGATGCAGATAATTTTTTTAATCGTTTTGTTACTATGGACGAAACATGGGTTCATTACTGTACACCGGAAACAAAACAACAATCAAAACAGTGGAGAAGACCTGGTTCACCACCCCCTAAAAAGGCTAAGTCGATTTTGTCGGCAAATAAGGTAATGGCTTCAGTATTCTGGGACTCGAAAGGTGTGATTATGATTGATTATCTTGAAAGGGGTCAGAATATAAACTCTGATTACTACTGCACCTTACTACGTCGTTTACGAGAGGAAATAAAAGAAAAACGTCGAGGAATGCTCAGAAGAAAAGTCCTGTTTCATCAAGATAACGCCCGTGTTCACACGTCAGTACAGTCAATGGCTGAAATTCACAACTGTGGCTTTGAACTGTTACCGCATCGTATTCACCTGATCTGGCACCATCAGACTTCTTTCTGTTCCCTAACCTAAAAAAGCACTTGGGAGGTCAAAGATTTTCGACAAACGACGAGGTCAAAGCAGCTGTAGACGCATATTTTGACTCTAAGGAAGAATCATTTTTTTTCAACGGTCTAAATGCTTGGAAGGGGAGGTGGCAAAAGTGTATTGAACTTGATGGTTATTATGTAGAAAAATAAAAATATAACTGGTTTAGTATTTGTTTATTTTCTTGGTTAGGCCGAGTACTTTTCAATCCACCCTCGTACATTTTTAAATAGTAATGTTGTGTCACTTCCTTGATTCCCGAAATTTTCAGTGCCGCCCTCGTATAATAACTCGTATCAGGTGACGTAGTAAAAATGAGATTTTAGTTTATATATTTTACGCATGAAAGTGAAAATGGATCTAATATCTGGTTCCTATATTTAACGAACCGTTTTTCAGTAAATGAAGTGTATGAAAACCCCTTTTTAAAGTAAAATTCCAGTTCAACTATATGTGAATGTGAATTTAAACCATCTAGGCCCACAAAAAATTTAATCGAAATCGAGTCGTTTTGGAGCAATCTATTTTTATATATAGAGATGTCTTAGCACCTATGTATTTCAAAATGTGAAATTATTTTATTCTTTTTATTTGTTTGAAGTCGACTTTTTGTAACTTGTTTTTTTTGAGAGAAGTATGAATGACAGACGAGCAAAGCATACTGCCCATCTAATGGTATGTGGATTTTATGACCAATAGGCACATCAGTTCTCGAATAAGAATCAAAATATAGCCACTGAGCCAGGGAGCCGTCATTTATCATCAAGTATGCAATGCATGGATGTCTGATTACGGTGTAATAACTAAGTAATAACTAAGATTCTCCATCTTAGAAAAAACAAAACAAAAGAATACGGTAGTTGAAGAGCACCTTCCGCCCTTGCTCAATTGCGTACACTATCCCCGATACCACGTATTCTAGCACCACTAATCCCAACCAATAACCCCAACACTATTCTCAACACCATGTGTTTCACCTTTAAACAAGGCATCCTCAGGTGAAATAGACTCAGCGCTGACCTCTAAAATGAAAACTTAATCTATATACTCATTGATAACAGTAATTATTCGAACCTTCAACAAAATTCTAAAGCTCGAAACGCTTAAGTACATATGTATATACATTTGTAACTTCGTTTTATCACAGAACCAGCTCCAAAGATTGAGAATAACTTAAAGAGTAGACCGCCGCCGCCTCCGAGTGGAAAAGGGTCAAGTGAAGATGCTGCTGTTTATGGTAAGCTATACGTTTAAAATATTACACATAATATGTTTAATGAAATTTCGTGTTTTTGTTCTGGGCATTAATTTTTGTAATAGTTAATTAACCAAACCAAGTTCCTCCGGTTACATTTCATAAGTTATCAATTATTTATACCACAATAAGTACATATTTATTACGGATCGCCGTAACGCCGTTCGAAAAATGAGTGAAACACGTTGGTCTTGCATAAACTGGAGGCAAGCGGCGGTGAGGAGGAACTTTTTCTTTTCTTGCTGTTGTTTTCTTTTCTGTAGCTGGAGAGCGACTGCCGACCGTTCTTTTTTTTTTTTTTTTTGCGCCCGAAGCAATTGGAAAAGGGCTACCACTGAGGGAGGCGGAAAATGCATTATGCATACCACGACAGCCGGTCTGTCCTGGTTATGTGGGACTCACTGCCTACCGGGGGACCTAAGTGATACCCACTAAAAACCGCCTTTGGGGACTGGCAACTAGCTCTATTAAAGCTTCATATGCCGTATCTAAAGCGACCCTCTTTTGGGAAAAGAGGGCGCAGACGGCTAAGTGCCGTTTAGGGACTGCCTACGAAGGCATATTATTAATTTTAACTAATTTTTAATTTAATTAGGATTGGCCTGAGCCGCCAGGAGGCAGTTCAGGTCGTTTGACAATTTATTTGGCGGGTCCGAGAGAGTGTTTCTCGGCCTGCGGACGCTATAGCGAGAAGGGAGTGGGGCGGTATAAGTAACTGCCTCACGAATAAGTGTGTTAGTATGCGACTCTGATACTTTAAAGAAGTTTTCAGAGAATTTTTTAAGACATTGCTGGATTGTTGGGATTTCTAAATCCCGGTGAAGGTCGGCATTACGGACGTACCAAGGTGCGTTCGTAGCTCGACGACAGAAGAGGTTTTGAACTACTTGGAGTTCGTTAATAATTTTATCGTTAGCGTGTGCAAAAATAGGAGCCGAGTAAGTCATAACCGGTCGTATACAAACCTTATAGAGGGTTCGCTTATTTCGTAATGACATTTTGCTATGTCTGCCTAACATACTGTTAAGCCGACCTAAATAGAAACGTGCTAGACGCGTTACTCTTTTGACATGAGACTCAAAAGTAAGCCTATAGTCAAGGGTGACGCCTAAATATTTTGCTGACATGTGCCATGGGACAGGGGTCCCTAGCATTCGTATAGGTGGAGTATTTTTCTTGTTTTTATTACGGCGTCTTTTAATATCGAATTGAACTGCGGAGCTCTTCTCCGGGTTCACATCGATACGCCATTTTTGGAACCAGTCTCCTAGGTCATCGACTGACTTTTGGATCTTGTTCCTTGCTGAAGATATTCTAGGACTTTTGAAGTATAGTGCAGTGTCATCTGCGAAGAGTGAGAGCTGTACACCATTCGACGGGATAGGAATGTCGTTGGTGTACAAGATGTACAGGAGGGGAGCTAGTACTGATCCTTGAGGAACACCAGCTTTAATGGGGCGCTGAGAGGATAACGTGCCTTCGTGTCTAAAACGAAAGGTACGATGTTGTAAATAAGAGGCTACGAGACGTACTAGACGATCGGAGAGTCCTATCCTATATAATTTGAAAATAAGGCCTTCATGCCAGACTCGGTCGAAGGCTTTGGCAATGTCGAAAAAGACCGCGATTGTCTTTAGTCGACGTGGATAAAAACCGCTGAGGATATATTCCACAATGCGGTGTACCTGTTGTGGACACGAGTGTTTTGCGCGGAAACCAAATTGGTGTGGGATGACAATGGGGTCACCGTCTGTGGGAAACAGATGGCGCCTCATTCGATTTTGAATGACTCTTTCAAAGAGTTTGCCCATGGCCTTTAGGAGGCTAATGGGACGATGACTGGAGGGGAGGTTAAGAGGCTTGCCTGGCTTGGGAATACCAATGACAATTGCCTCTTTCCAAGAAGTGGGAAAGTAACTAAGATTAAAACAGGCGTTAAAGATAATAGCTAAGAGGGTTAACACCTGCTCTGGAAAGTATTTAAGGGCTTGGTTGGATATGCCATCCGCGCCCGGAGATTTTTTGGGCTTAAGTCCTTTGATGAGGGACGAGATCTCATCATTGGACACAGTGATAGGGTCAGAGGTTGTGGGGGGTGAGTTCCGGCGGCGGACCTCATCCTCCACTTCCTGAATATGTGAGGGGTCGACAGGTTGAGAGCTAGGAGAGCATTGTGCGGCAATGCTGTCTGCAAAGCACTCAGCCTTCTCGTCGTCCTCGAAGGCAACCGTACCGTCGGGGCGGGAGAGAGGGGGAGTGTGAGTTGTAGCGTCTATACGGAGGGCTCTAGCCATCTGATAGTACGCTGTATGTGAGGGAGATATATTCTCCATGAGTTCACTCCTTTGGAGCTCTCGAAATTCATAAAGGTGCGAACGGAGTTTTCGTTGAAGACGATTAGCCGTATGCCTATATTCGGGGGTGGGATATTTAGCTGCTCTCCGGAAAGCAGCTTTTTTAGCTTTTAATATGTTGCTAATATATAGGGGAAGCCCATTAGTATTAGCAACCGGAACGACCCTTTCATTCTCCTTAAGGGAGGATTTAATTAGGGTTGAAAGTGATTCGACCGCGGTGTCGATTTTTACAGGACTGTCTAAGTCTAAGTCCGACGATAGGTAATTAGGGGAGTCCTGCGAGTCCATAGCTTTTGCTAGTGAGTCCTTGAAACCCTTCCAGTTAGTGAAGGTTTTCGTAGTTATAATAGGGGGTGGCTGATGGCCAAGAATAAGAGAGACCGGTCGGTGATCGGATCCTATATCGTCTAGTGTCTCAATAGACCTGAGGTTGAGTGAAACTCCTTTGAGTAACGCAAAATCTAGTACATCTGGGTTAAAATCGATATTATCGGGATAGTGCGTTGCACCGAGCGGGCTGAAAACGGTTAAGTCAAGAGACTGCGTTATATCACGCAGTATCCTACCATTAGTATTAATCGTACGGCATGTCCATTCAGTATGTTTAGAGTTGAAATCTCCAAACATAATGACTGAATTACTTTGAGATAAGATTGCCTCAAAATCATCTTTGAGGGGGAGGTTTTTAGGGGGAATGTAACAGGAGGCTATGACTAAAGACTGATGTCCCGTCATAGATATCCTGCATAACGTAGCTTCCATATTGGTAAGCTGTGGAGTATCAATAAGAGAGCAATGTAGTGTCTTCTTGTAATAAATGGCCGTGCCGCCGCCTCGGCGGTCGTGCCTATCATTACGAAGAAGAGAATAATTTTTAATGGATAAGCCTTTATTGTCTGTGTGTTTAAGATTGGTTTCCTGTAAGAGGAGAAAATCAGCTTCGCGATCTTTAAGGAAGAGCTTAAGCTCTAGGAGATTATTACGCAATCCGCGAATATTAAATGAAATAAGCGATAGCCCTTTGGGCTTGATACGACCGTGACTTCTAGGCAGAGCAGAAGGCTCTGTCATTATAAGCTAAGTTAATTAAGTTAACTTAGCTTACAACGAACGCAATAAATTACTGTGTTCTGCGAGAACCAAAAGCCGGTCCTGAGGGGACCGGGCGGCGCGCAGTTTACTCGCTAAAACCGAGATTTCGTTAATGTCGATGTTCCTTATCGCGGCGTAAACCGTGTTAAAGTCATCGCCAATTGTCGACTGTTTCTGCTGCGGAGCAGAAAATACCTGTGGCGGTGGATCTACCTTTTTAGGGCCCCAGGCAAAAACTGGAGCCTGCATAGGCTTTGAGAAGCCCGGTGGTGGCCTAAGCGGTGCCTGCGGTGGCCTAAGCGGTGCCTGCGGTGGTCTCGGGGGACCCTGAGGGGGTCGTGCAAAGCCCTGAGACGGCTGAGATGCGCCCTGACGGGGCTTCCTAACATATAAGGCCGGGAATGAACGGTCATTTACCGGCGGTGGTGCCTGTCTTGCTATGCGCGGACGAGGAGCGCACGGGCATCCTCTGTAGCTCGCCGGGTGGCCTGTCTGTTGACACAGGACGCACGCGGGCGGGGATACGGCATCTTTAGGCCGAGGACACTCTTTGGTGATGTGTGGATCTAGGCACTTAACGCACCTGGGTGGGGCGGAGCAATTGGCCGCCGCGTGACCATATAGTTGGCAGCGGTGGCACTGCGCCGGGAAACCGCGCCTATGCGGTGACTCAACCCTAACTCCCGACAAGCCGCACACCGTGCGTACTTGCCGGAAGATGGTTTGCGCCTCCGGAACGTTGGTTAAGATAGCTAAGACTATCGGGTATCTCAACCCGGTCCTACTGTGCATTTTATGAACAGCTTCGACGGGGAATCCTTGTGACTTAAGGTCATCAAGAATCTCCTCGTTGGAGAGTTCGAACGGGACGCCTCGGATGACGGCCTTGACTTTACGCTCTTCCGGAAGAGCGTATGTATGGTACGATACTCGTTCGTTAGTGAAAAGCCTAGTGAGTCGGCGAAAATCGTCAATAGATTGGGGAACTATTTTTATTGCTACGCCCATGTTCGTAGCTATGTCATATTTAATTCCAGAGTCGTAGCATACCTTGCTCAGTCTAGTGAACTCGGCCTTGTCTCTCAAAAAGACAGGGGGCGGAACTGGTTTTTTCGCGAGTTGCGGAGCGCAACGTGAAGCCGGCTTCGACGGCGCTGCAATATCTAAGGGGGTCGAGGCAGCGGCGGGGGCTGCGGAGGTAGACGCGGCAGCGGCGGGGGCTGCGGGGGTGGGGGGAGCGGCACGGGCCGCTTCGGCGGGGGGCGAACGGTTTTTCGCGGCGCGCTTCGCTGCGCGCTTTGACGACACCGTGGTGTAAGACGTGTTAGAGTTGTTAGAGTCACCGGTATCATCGGAGTCAGAGGACTCCGATGTCCTGGTGCTGGACTGTTTGGCAGGCCTCTTCCGGGAGGCAGATGTGGATGACGCGGAATCGGAGTGAGAGCACTCCATGTCGATTTCGAGCGGCGCGAACGAATTACGTGACGCGAGGTAGTCCGCTATAACGGGCGGCGGTGCCTGAAGGGCGGGAGG